CTCAGAGCTGCCCTGCCGAGGTGCCGCGAGGGGCGCCCGCCACAGGGCCTCCCTCAGCAGCTGACGGCTGCCTTGAGCCTTACCCCTCGCGGGCGCTTTCAAGATTCTCCTGGCGACCCCTACCTCAAGCCCTCCACCCTCTCGTCATGCAGAGTTTACCCGCCCCATACTGACCCCGTTCTGACCCTCCCGTCAACCAACCCGTCCCCATCAGGTCCCTCCCGATGACTCACTCTTACCACTGAGAACATCCCTCACCTCAAGATTTCTTCTTCCCTCCCGGAGACACCTCCTCTTTCTCTGATGGATCCTGCCCTATCACCCAGGATTCTTCAACCTCAAGACTCCCCCTTCTCCCTTCAACCAGAGCCTTCCTTCCTCACAAAATCCCTCTCTTACACGAGCCCCTAATTTCCTTCCAGAGCCTTCCCCGAGAACCCACCGAATGCTTACTTCTGTCACTTGGTTAAGCTGGAGTGGGCCAGGTAGCTCATTGTAAAGTTCCTGTTTTTCCCTCTGTAATTAATAAGCGGTATGTGTGGAGACACTTTGAGACTATGAACATGTCCTGTTTTGGGGGGAAGGACAGAGCAGAAGAATAGTGAGTCCTGCCTGAAGGGACCGGCGAGCGGTTGGGCATGGACGGAGGGTGAGGTTGACCAGGCAAACTTTGTCCTATTTTATCATGTTGCTTTTTAGCTCCTGACCTTCTTCTCTCTTTGATCTTCTGGACCTTTCCTTTGTCTTGCTTTCCCCTTCCACATCCTTTATCAACAGCACTTCCCACTGGAGCTCTGACTCCAGTCCTGTTTTATATTTTGTTTTCTAGGTGGAACCCGGCTTCTCCTTATGGTTAAGAGCATAGACTGTAGAGTCAGATCCACCCAGGTTAAATCCTAGCTGTGCTGCTTATAAACTGTGTGACCTTGGGCAGATAACTTAACCTCTCTGTGCTGCAGATTTTACAGCATAAAAGCAGTAATGGCCTTCTTCTCAGGGCTATGGGGAGACTTGGACAAGGTAAACCATGTAAAACACTTAAAACAGTGTCCAGCAGTTACCAGGTGCTCAGTACCATTGTTAGCAGATCCAGAGCCTTTTTCATATCACTTTTCCCTCCCTGAGACCACCACATGCCCAGCTTTTGGTTCCTTCCATCCTCTAAGTTTGGCCATGGTTGCCTCCAATCCCTCCATCCCCACCTTCCCATGCCTGCCTTCTTTTTCCTCCTCAAGTCTCAAATTTAAGGCTCATTTTATTTACTTGGATGTAGATTATATCTAGTTGTAAACATGGAACGACATGAGTTCAAGGTCCTCCTACTCCGACATCTTCCCAAGCAGTCTTTAAGTTCATTTTATAATTTAAAATTTTTTTTTATTATTTTGGGGCACCTGGCTGACTCTGTCGTTAGGCATCTGCCTTTGGCTCAAGTCATGGTCCCAGGGTCCTGGCATCGAGCCCTGCATCAGGCTCCCTGCTCAACAGGAAGCCTGCTTCTTCCTCTCCCACTCCCCCTGCTTGTGTTCCCTCTCTCGCTGTGTCTCTCTATGTCAAATAAATAAATACAATCTTTTAAAAATTTTTTTATTATTTCTTAATGGATTATTTTTTTAAGGGGCACCCAGCTGGCTTAGTTGGAAGAGCATGTCATTCAGTCTTGGGGTTGTGAGTTTGAGCCCCACGTTTGGTGTAGAGATTACTAAAAAAAGATAATAAATTTTAAAAACCCTTTAAAAAAAAAAAGGATTGATTTATCTATTTGAGGAAGGGAAGGAGCAGAAGGGAGCGGGAGTGGGAGAATCTTAAGCTAACTCCTGACTGAGTGCAGAGCCCAAAATTGGGCTTGATCTCACAGCCCTGAGGCCATGACCGGAGCTAAAATCAAATGTGGGATGCTCAAGAGCTAGGCCACCCAGGTGCCCCATATTAAAAACAAAAAATTAATGGATTTTCTATTTAAATCTGTAATTGTTTTTTAAAGGTAAACTCTACACCCAATATGGGGCTTCAACTCAAAACCCCAAAATCAAGAGTAGCATCTCTATGGACTGAGCCAACCAGCCAGGCACCCCTTTAAGTTCACTTTAAATGGCAGAGTTGATACTTCTCTATCTCAGCATTCTATCCTTCAGAAAGCTGCATATTTTGTAATTGTAATTCTCTCTCCTCCAGTGTAAAAACAGCATCAGAGCAAGGACTGAATCTGAATGCTCACCACTGGCTCACCAGCATTTGCCACATTTAGAGGCTTTCAGCAAATAGGGTGTTACCCCACAGATCACTAACTAATTAGAAAGTGGAGGTCACTACTGTAACCACGAGTCAAATTTAACATCATCAATAAAGGACCAACGGACCCTGTGAAGTGATGCACCAAGAAGGGACAAGGCATCTGCCCAAAATGCTTAACTTGAATCTCATTATGAGGACACAATCAGACAAATCCAAACAGGGAAACATTCTGCAAAACAGCAAAGTCTGGGATTCTTCGAAACTGTTAGTGTCACAAGAGAAAACAACACAGAAGAAAACAAAACTCCGGAACAGTGTTCTTGATTAAAGGAGCCTGAGAGAGAGAGCTCTGTAATTCTGCATCCCATCCTGAATGAGAAAGGTAGGAAGGAAAGGAGGAGGGAGTGAGGGAGGGAAGGAGAAATACAGTCAAAAGGACCCTAATGAATGGGACTCCTGGGGCAATTTGAATATAGGATGTACATTACATAATAGTATTGCATCAATGTTAAATTTTGTGAGTCTGAGGGTTATCTTGTGGTTATGAAGGAAAGTCTCTTGATCTTAGGAGTTACATGCCAAATGTTTAAGGATGAAGTATCATAATATCTGCGACTTCTTCTCAAATGGTTCTCCAGAGAAACATGGGTTCCCTAGGGCCCAAGCATACATGGGGAGAGGGGAGCAATTAGGGCAGAAACGTTGATAGTTTTAGAATATAGTTGAAGACTACATGAGATCACAACTTTTTAGTAGATTTGAAATTTTCAAAAGAAAAGCTAGAGAAGATAAATAAAGCATTTATAAAGTAAGTGCACTTTGGAATTTAAGTCCAAAACCTCTAAACCTCTCTAAATGTCTTCCATGCAAGAAGGCACAAACATTCTCCAGCTCTTAATGCCGCATTTGGATTTTTTTTGACAAGTCCCTCTGAACTAGTCTAGGCCAGAGGTTTTAATCCGGAGCCCTTGAATGAGCTTCCTGGGTCCAGGAATCCATCACACAGTAGGCAAAACATGTGGGTCACTGCATATGCGTGTGTGTGTACATGTGTGCACCCAAAAATGGTTCCAAACCCCTGGTCTGACTACTAGGTCCAACCCCAGTGGGGGTCCCATTCCTCACCTCCACCCCTTTCCATGTCTGACCCCACACATCCTCTCTGCACCTTCCTCTCATCCCTCAACACCTAACCCACACCCGTCTCACGTAACCTGCTCTCACACTTGCTGGGATGCCAAGGATTCACCCACACATCACTCTGGTGCAACACACTCCTGGATTTGGCTGGCACTTCACTAACTCAGCCCTGAAACCTGCACTCAGTCCTCCCACAGCCACACTGAGTATGTTTTTATGATGTGTTGGTGGGTAGGTTGGGCTCCCTATGGCCTTGGTGGAGACCCACCACCTCTCCTTCCTGCCAGCCCACCATACGGTGTATGAATTAAGATTGGCATTTGGGGATGGTACCAATGCAGTCCTCACCGGAGTAAGTCACATCAGGATATGGAGAGGGACAGGCCGGTAGCTCTGCAGGGTTGGGTGACAGCGAACCATAGTTTATTTCCCCTAATTACTATGTGTGTGTGGGTTTAGGGGTGAGTATAATCCAGGATTACACAAGGGAGAATGAAAGAGAGCATCTTGGGTCAAATAGGTCAACAATTTCATACCAACTCTTATGCTCCCAAATTCTATCTAAACACACACACACACACACACACACACACCACGAAAATGTAAAACCCTCAGAACACCTTCTAGCTTCACAAGGTCTATTTCTAAAACATTTGAGAGAATTCAGGCTTTTATCTTATTTGTTTCTAAGAACTTAGCCTAAGAAAATAATACAAATTATGATCAAAGAATTATTAAGAGTGCTGACAATTTACATGTTCAGTATCACTGAAACTTGCAAAAACCCTGAGGCTAAAACCCACTGAATTTATACTTTAAATGGGTGAATTATATGGTATGTGAATTATAGCTCAAGAGAGCTATTAAAAATGCTGAGGTTGGAGTTGTAAGGATCCTGTTTTTGCAGTTGAGGAAACCAAGACTCTAATGACATTGGAGAATTGAGGCAGAGAATGGATTTGAACCAAGGCCTTTCTGACCACCAACTCCATTTCTGTAATCCTTTTCTAATTCTACACATCCCCCTCCCAAAAGACCCAAAGACATTCATCATGAAAATCATGAAAGATAAAACAACTCAAATATCCCAAATTGCAAGACTGCTTAAATAAATCGTGGTATATTCCTACAGTACA